AAAGATGCATTTAATATTTTGCCTTTCTGTATTGGATTTTGAGGGTTTTATGACCAAATACATGATCAAATTTTGTGTAGGTACCATGTACCACTGAGAAAAAGGTGTGTTCTTTTCTATCCCCAATCAATTTTCTCTAGAGGCAGATCTGTCATATCCAACTTCTCTAAAATTCTAATCACCTTCTTAACTTCTTTCTTTTTAATTTTGTGATTGGATTTTTCTAGTTCTGAGAGGGGAAAGTTGAGGTCCTCCACTAGTATAGTTTTGTTCTGTATTTCCTTCTATAACTCACTTAACTTCTCCTTATAGAATCTTAGTACATATATGTTTAGTATTGATATTACTTCATTGTCTGTGGTACCTTTTAGCAAGATACAATTTTCTTCCTTATCTCTTTTAATTAGATCCATTTTTTTTGCCTTTGCTTTGTCTGAGATCTTGATTACTACCCCTGCTTTTTTTTTTAACTTCACCTGAAGTATAATAGATTCTGCTCCAGCCCCTTACCTTTACTTTGTGTGTGTCTTTCTTCTTCAAGTCTGTTTCTTTTAAACAACATATTGAAGGATTCTGGTTTTTAATCCAAGTTGCTATTTACTTCTGTTTTATGGGACAGTTCATCCCATTCACATTCACAGTTAGAATTACTAACTATGTATTTCCCTCCATCCTATCTTTCCTTCTGTTTATCCTTCTCCCTCTCCTTTCATTCTTTCCTTCCTCACCACTGTTTTGCTTCTGACCACTGCCTCCCTCAATCTGCCCTCCTTTCTGTCAGTCCCCTCCTTTTTTTCCCTAACCCTCTCCTGTCCTACTTTCCTGTACAGTAAGATAGATTTCTATGCCCAACTGATTGTGTATGATATTCCCTCTCTGAGCCCGTTCCAACAAGAGAAAGGTTCAAATAATGCCCTGTCCACCCTCCCATTTTTTCTACCACTGTAATAGTGGAGCCTCTTCAGGTGAGATAATTTACGGCATTCTGTCTTTTCCTGCCTTCTTCTCCCAGTGTAATACTCTTTTCTCCCCCCTGTTTTTTTTTTATATCATCCCCTCAATATATACCCACACTCTCTGTCTATGTATACACATTCTGACTTCACTAAAAGTGATACAGTTCTTAAGAATTACAAGTATTATCTTCCCAGGTATGGTTGTAAACAGTTTAGCCAGAAAGAACTATCTTAACAAACTTTCCTAGTTTGTTAACTGTAAGTTTTCATCTGAGTTTAGAGAAGTTGGAGTAGTGTAACATTGTAGTGGTGATAGAGAACTCTTAGATATTGCTTGTAAGCTTTCTGATTTTGACTTTGCAGGGCCCTCCAGTAGAAAAGAATAGCTGATAATTTATATGTTGAACTATTCTCTATATATTACCATATGAAATCTATATTTACTAAACTGGATTTTGTTTTTCCTTTTAATGTTCATGATATTATTTCCTACTGGGAGAAAGCTGGTACATGCTAATGATTAGGGCAAACACCAGGCTTGTGAAGGGGCAAATTATTCCTCGGAAAGAGGGGTAGGATCTGAATCAGGATTCAAGTACTCCTAAATCAGGAGACGAGGCAATCAGTAAGTACTAAGTTTCTTTGGGAGTTAAAAAATCCAGGAAATTGAGATGGAGGCAAGAAACTAGTTGTGGTAGCAGAATTTCAAGATGAATGAATGAATGAATAACTGAATAAAGCATTTATTAAAGAGCTTACTAGGTGCAAACCACTGGGGATACAAGTAGAAAATTAAGGCAGTCCCTTCTCTCAAAGAGTTCACATTCTAATGGGGGAGAAAACACATATGTATGTTTCAGTTGCAAGTCAGATGGAAACGTCCTGAGGTCCTCAGGGTATGTTGGCAAAGTAGATAGTATTTAGTTTATTTGATGTCACTTCTGATAAAATCATATCAGTTTTTTATGTTGAGCCGATTGATAGTGGTAAGGAGATTGGTGTCTAGGACTTTGTTTTTTTAACTTTTCAGTAGCTGTGGCTGCAGCCCCTGCAGAAGCAGTTGCCGGGCTACATCTTCCCTGGAGTTGCTTCCCAGGATGATGGCTTAGCACACTGAGCTGGAAGCATTGCTCTTCCTAAGGTTCTTAGATTCAGGATAGTGGGCTTTTCCCGTTAGAATCTGAAAGAAAATGGTGGAGGTGGTTCGACTTACTTTTGACACATGCTGTCTCTTGGCTCTGTTAGGGTGCCTTGCTCTGTGTGTGGTAGTTGGTTAACAGTTGGCTGGCCCCTTTTCCACAGAAGTTGGTTTCCCAAATGGATGGCTATGAGGGTTGGGCTGGAAGTAGGTATGGGACTGAAGGGAGATGATATTGGTCAAGGTGGTGATGGTGCTTTGACTTGTTTGGCACTTGCTGTCCCTTGTTTCTCTCTTAGAGTACCTTGCTATTTTTTCTAGGCTAGTTTCTCTGCCCTATGTGTGGGATTTGATTGGCACTTGGTGGGCATTGCTGGCCACTTTTCCATAGGAGTTACTTTCCCAGATGAGGGCTGTGAGGATTGGGCTTGAAGCAGAACTGATTGTGGTGGCAGGCTCCTGTACCTGTTTGTTGGTGGCAGTATTCAGTGGGAAGTCAATTATATTATCAGGCAAGGGATTGGTCTGTCAGGGAGGTGACTTTTTTTTTTAAACTAACACCTTCTCCCCAGAGCTGTAATTTTTTAATGCCAGCTGTCCCTGACCTGTAGTGATGTATCAGTGTGGTCACAGGCTGTGTCTGCTATGTCCCTTCTTGATTCGATTGCCAGTTAGACTGCAGGCTCAGACAGCATATGTTGACCTCTTTTCTCGGATCCTTCAAATACAATATCTAGTTCAAATGGGATAACACATAAAATTTCAGAACAGGGATCCTTGCAGAACTTTTTGTTATCATATGCAGATAAGTCAGTAAGCATGTATTGGGCACCTGTTACATTCCAGGTACTGTGCTAAACCCTTAGGGATACCCCTTAGGGATACAAAGAGTGACAAAAGACAGTCCCTGATCTCAAGGAGCTCATAGTCAAATGTAGACAACATGAAAACAGGTTTGTATACATTAAACACACACACACATACACACAAACATACATATATAAATCTATTATATGTAGGTGTGTGTATGTGTGTAATATAAATGGTAAATTGGAAAGAATCAACAGAGGGAAGGCAATAACATTTAGGGGTTCAGGAAAGGCTTCCTATAGAAGGTGGAATTTTAGTTAGGACTTGAGGGAAGCCAAAGAAACAACGAGGTGAAGATGAAGAGGGAGAGAATTCTAGGCATGGGGGACAACAGGTGAAAATGCAGAGTTGAGAAGTGGAGCATCTTATAGGAAGAACAGCAAGGAGGGCAGTATTAATAGATCCCATAATATGTGGATGGGAATAAGGAATAAGAATATTGGGAGGTAGGAAAGGGACAGGTTGTGAAGGACTTAAAACACTAAAAAGGATTTTATATTTGGAAGTGATAAGGAGCCCTTGGAGTTTATTGTATAGGGGAGTTACATGGTCAGATCTGTGCTTTAGGAAGGTTAATTTGATAGCTGAGTGGAGGATGGACTGGAGTGGGGAGAGACTTGTGGCAGAGGAACCAACCAGCAACTGTTATGGTAGTGTAGGTGTGAGGTGTGAGGGCCTGTGCCATGGTGGTAGCAGTGTTAGAAGACACTGCTCTATTGAGACCTGTAAGACATGCTTCAATAGCTCTTTGAAGTCACAACTGGTCACTGTACTGATCAGGCTGATATTTTTCAGTATTCTTTTCTTTGACATTATTGTGCTCATCATATAAATAGTTGTCTTAGTTCTGTCTGTTTTGTTTTGTATCTTATTTTTGTTCTGGGTACATTGTTGTTTTCTTGTACTATCTTTTTTTAAATAGAAGAATCCATTTTGTTTCTAGTGATGTCTTATTTGCTTGATAAAAATTGTCATTTTCTTCATTTGGTAGAAAAAAGGAATAATAGAGTCATCTCAGATTCTGAATGTTCAAAAATTATTGGATCATTGATCAGTTAGATTTTTAAAAAATAGTATGTGGCTAGAGGAATGGATCTAAACTCATTTTTCATCATACTTCTATTTAATTTTCCTTAAAACTTTTATTAAAACATGATTCTTTTTTCCATAGTTTTATAAAGTGTCTTGGGAAAGCATTGTAGTATGATAAAAATCAGGAGGATTGAGGTTCAGCTCTTGAATGGGTGATGATCCTAGGTGAGCCTTCTTAGGTTATAAACATAATACCAAAAATTCAGTAGATAATTTTTTCCTCATACTCAGAATTTTTAAATATGTTTAATTTCAGATACCATATCTGAGTGTAATAGTTGCTAAAAGGATTCAAAGAGAGGGGTGACATGGTCAAAAGCATGGGTGTTTTTGATCTCATTATTAAAGGATGCATGGAGATAAGACCATGTAGGAAATACAGAGAAATTACAGAGTTTAAAAGAAAAATGAACAGAGCCTAAGTAAGGCAATAGATTGAGGGATGAGGACCGCATGATGTAGGGGAAAGACCACTGGACTGGAAGCTCTGAGATCTGGGTTCTAGTCCTGGTTCTGCCACTGATTAGCTATATGACTTACTCTAACTAGCCGTATCTGTCTGGAGAGGATATAGTGTGGTGGTCAATGGTAGTGAATTTGAATTCGGAACACCTGGGTTTAAATCAGGCCTTTTGTAACTTACTATCTGTGTGACCTTGGAGGATTCACTGTCTCTTGGATCCTCAGTTTCCTCATCTGTGAAATGAAAGATGATTAAGGATCATTCCACTTCCAAATCCTATGATCCTTCACATTTTCTTTATAAAATGATGAGGTTCAAGTAGAAGACATCTCACTGTCTTCTGGTTTTTAAGAGTATGTGGATAGCCCTTTTAGAGGTTTTTTCACTAGTGATTATGACAAAATCATGTAACTTTTGAATATTTGGCATCAAAAACTTTCACCTTATTCTATTTGAAATTTTACTCTTTTTTCTTTTCCAGTCATATCGGAGGCAGGGAAGGCAAAACAGAAATTGGCACAGGACCTCTTCAGAGAAGAGTATATTTTGAACTATGCCATTGGTATGTGTGTTATGCATTGTCATAAAGCAGAATTGAAAAATGAAGTGCATATCTAACTTAAAAATTAAATTATGATAATAGTATTTAATAAATTATTATTGTGCATTGGCTAGTATTTTATTAAAAGACTAACTTGTTCACTTGGAAGTATCTGGCTTAATATACTGAATTGAGAATTATTAATAACTGTGTATTTAGTTGGACAGTACAAACAGGCAGGTAAAAACTAAGGTCTCTTTCCATGGGACATAGGAATAACACACATTTCTGTAGTGCCTTTAGCTTTATTAAGTATAAGCATCATTATTCCCATTTTGACATAATGAGGAAGGTGCATACAGGTATACATCTCGTTCTGCTGAAACATACATATGCAGGTAAAATGCCTTATAGAAGTCAGTTCAATAAGTGTAGATGGAAAGAACATTGTTAACCTATAGAGATAGTAAATGGTAGTCATGGTTCTCTAATCCATCATTGTAAAGAGTTTCCATTGTATGTTGACCTCACAGTGATTAGTAGATGGTAACAAAAAGAATAGTAAGAAGTATACTACTAATTATTTTTTTTATGAAATAATATGGATTGATTGATAACATCCATATTTTTCATACCACTCTTGTTGACTGTTCCTCTAATTTTCTGCATTTATATTGCAAATATTTGTTCTTTAAATATATTCTATGTGTTTTTGCCAAAAAAAACTGAAGCTTTCAAATATCGAAATTAATTATAGCTATATTTCTTGTAGGTACTTATCAGAAGCCTTATGTTGCACTTATTCATGGAATTACAATGGGTGGAGTAAGTAAAATGTTTTATTGCAGTTATTGAGATGTGAATTTTTATTGTATACCAAAGCTAATACAAAAGTTTTTTTTAATATTTTATTTTTTCCCAATTACATGTAAAAACAATTTTAACATTCTTTTTTTCAAATTCTGAGTTTCAAATTCTCTCTCTCCCTCCACTCTTCTCCTTTTTGAGAAGGCAAGTAATTTGACATAGGTTATACATGTGTAGTTGTGCAAAACATATTTCCATGTAAGTCATGCTGTGGAAGAAAACACAGATAAAAACTCCAAGAAAAATGAAGTAAACAAAAAGTATCTTTGATCTGTATTCAGCCGCCACCAGTAATTTCCCTGGAGATGGATAGTACCTTTCATCATAAGTTCTTCAGAATTGTCTTGTGTCATTGTATTGCTGAGAATAGCTAAGTTATTCACAATAGATCATCATACAGTATTGCTGTTACTGTGTATAATGTTCTCCTGGTTCTACTCTTTTCACTTTGCATCAGTTCATGTAAGTCTTTTCAGGCTTTTCTGAGGGCATCCTGCTCATCATTTCTTATAGTGTAATAGTATTTAATTACAATCATATTCAGCAATTTGTTTAGCCATTCCCCAATTGATGGGCATCCCGTCGGTTTCTAATTCTTTGCCACCAGAAAAGAGCTGCTATAAATATTTTTGTACACATAGGTCCTTTTCTTTTTTGTTTTTATCTCTTTGGGATACAGACCTGATAGGGCTTGGTCAAAGGGTATACATGGTTTTATAGCCCTTTGGGCATAGTTCCAAATTGCTCTCCAGAATGGTTGAGTTGGTATACAACTTCACCAACAGTGCTTTGATTTTCCCACATCTCCTCCAGCATTTGTCATTTTCCTTTTATGTCATATTAGCCAATCTGAGAGGTGTGTGGTGGTAGCTCGAGAGTTGTTTTAATTTGCATTTCCCTAATCAATAGTGATTTAGAGCATTTTTTCATATGCCTATAGATAGCTTTGATTACTTTGTTTGAAAACTACCTGTTCATATCCTTTGATCATTTATCAGTTGAGGAGTGGCTATAAATTTCTATAAATTTGACTCACTTCTTTATATGTTTGAGAAATGAGGTCTTTATTGGAGAAACTTGCTGTAAAATTTTTTTTCACAGTAATGATTACCAACTATGTATTTCCCTCCATCCTATTTCCCCCCTGTTTATCCTGCTCTTTCCTTCACCCTGTCCATTCTCAAAAGTGTTTTGCTTCTGATTTTTACCTCCCCCAATCTTCGCTCCCTTCTGTCAGGCCTCCCTTTCTCTTATCTCCTTCTCCTTCCACTTTTCTGTATGGTAAGGTAGATTTCTATACCCAACTGAGTGTGTATGTTATTTTCTCTTTGAGCCAATTCTGTTGAGAGTGAGGTTAATATGCTCCTCCCCCCTTCAGTTCTCTGCCCTCCGCCACCACTTCCCTCATCCTCCCCTCTATGTAAAATCTCTTTCATGCCTTTTATGTCAGATAATTTACCCCATTTTACATCTCCCTTTCCACTTATCTCAGTGCATTCTTCTTTCTCACCCCTTAACTTTATTTTTTAGGTAATCATCCCATGATATTCAACTCACATCTGTGTTTTTAGTCTACATATACTCCTTCTAACTGCCCTGGTAATGAGAAAGTTTTTAGGAGTTATAAGAATCATTTTCCCATGTAGGAATGTGAACAGTTTAACCTTATTGAATCCTTTATTATTTCTCTTTCCTATTTACCTTTTTGTGATTCTTTTGAGTCTTGAAAGTCAAATTTTTTATTCAACTCTTGCTTAAAAGTGCTCCGTTTCATTGAACGTCCATTTTTCTTCCTGTAGGATTATACTGAGTTTTGCTGGGTAGGTGATTCTTGGTTGTAGTCCTAGCTCTTTGTCCTCCAGAACATCACATTCCAAACCCTATGATCCCTTAATGTAGAAACTGCTAAATCTTGTGCTATCCTGACTGTGACTCCCCAATACTTGAATCGTTTCTTTTTGGCCACTTGCAATATTTTTCCTTGACCTGAGAGCTCTGGAATTTGGCTGTAATATTCCTGAGACTTTTCATTTTGGGATCTCTTACAGCAGGTGATTAGTAGATTCTTCCAATTTCTATTTCACCCTGTGGTTCTAGAATATCAGGGCAATTTTCCTTGATAATTTCTTGAAAGTTATGTCGAGGCTCTTTTTTTTTTTTAGCATGGCTTTCAGGTAGTCCAGTAATTCTTAAATTATCTCTCCTGGGTCTATTTTGTAGATCAGTTGTTTTTCCTGAGATATTTTACATTTTCTTCTGTTTTTTTCTTTCTTTTGATTTTGTTTTATTGTTTCTTGATCTCATAAAGTCATTAGCTTCCACTTGCCCAATTCTAATTTTTCTAAAATTTTCCCCAGTTCTAATTTTTAAGGAATTATTTTTTCAGTGAGCTTTTGTACCTGCTTTTTCATTTGGGCAATTCTACTTTTTAATGAGTTCTTTTCTTCAGTGGATTTTTGTACCTCTTTTTCCATTTGGTCATGTCTGCTTTTTAAGGAGTTCTTCTCTTCAGTGAATTTTTGTATATCTTTTTCCATTTGTCCAATTCTGCTTTTCAAGGCATTCTTCTCCTCATCGAATTCTTGTACCTCTTTTAACATTTGACCTATTCTGTTTTTTAAGGTGTTCTTTTATTCAGTATTTTTTGTGCCACCTTTACCAAGCTGCTGATTCTTTTTTCATGATTTTCTGGTAGCATTCTCATTTCTCTCCCTAATTCTTCTTGCTTCTCTTACTTGGTTTTTAAAATCCATTTTGAGCTCTTCCATGGTGTGAGGACAGTTCATATTTTGCTTTGAGGCTTTGGATATAGGAGTTTTGACTTTGTTATCCTCTTCTAAGTTTGTGTTTTGATCTTCCCTGTCACCAAAGTAACTTCTTGTTGTCAGAATCTTTTTCTGCTGTTTGCTTATTTTCAAGCTTATTTCTTGACTTTTAACTCTATACTAAAGTGGAGTTCTGCTTCCAGAGTGGAAGGGGCATCCTCCCAAGCTTCAGGGTTTTTTTGTGCAGCTATTTTTGGAGATAATTCTGGAGACCTGTAAGTTTTTGGTTCTTCCAAGGTGATATGATCTAGGGAGAGGTGTGTTTACTATTCTTATGGCCTGTGCTCTGGTCTGCAAGTGACCACAAGCACTCTTTTCCACTCTGGAGCTGTGAGCAGGGTCCTCGCCTCCCTGCAGCCACAAGCTGTGGTGTGCTTGTGCTCTTCTTTGTCTTGAAATTGAGACCCAGTACTGCAACCCAGATCCAAGTATGGGCAGTGTAACAGAGTACTGCCCCCCCAGTGCCAGCAAAGGGACTCCGTAATCTCCTTCTGACCAGCTGTCTGACCCCTTTACTGTCTGTGGGTTGAGAAGTCTGGAAATCGTTGCTGCCACTGATTCAGTCACCCTTAAGGGCCTGCTCTTGGTTTACAAAGGACCTGGTTTGTGCTGGCATAGCCCTGTGCTGGACTGCACTTCACTCTCATCCAGCTCCTACTGATTTTCTGAGTTGTTGGTCTGGAAAATTGTTTCACTCCATCCTTTTGTGAATTCTGCCACTCTAGAATTTGTTTTGAGGCATTATTTAAAGATATTTGGGGGAAGCTTCATGTGAGTCTCTACCTTTTCTGCATCATGTTGGCTCTACTTCCCTAAAAGTTCTTTCAAAAGGAAATGTTATAATAATTCAAATATGGTAGAGAATCAGATAGTTGTACTACATGAGGCCCAGCCCCCCCCAAAAAAAAATAAAAGGTGGCTTTTGGGCTTTTATAGAATTTAGATACAGTAAATGGATCACAGACATACATACCTTAGCAGATTGCTTTGTATACCAAATGTAGGCTCCTAGTTTCATATGCCTTCTACACTCTGAACCTTGCCATTGTCTTGTTATTCAGAGGTAATCACTGAGTATTTATGTGTAGAACACTGTGTAGAACACTGGTTTTATTTGCTCACCATGACTTTATCCCTCTATTCCCAGTCTATGATTGCTGTTTTTCTTTAATTTTTTGCCTTCATGTTGTTGGCCCTGTGGTTGATCACTTTATGTATATGTTGTTTTCCCCTCTTAATTCTCTTGCTTTCTTAGTTCATTCCTATTTGTATTATTCCTATTCATGTCTCACCAAACTCCAAACCTGAGTTATCCTCACCATGTACTCCTATTCCCAGGATGATGGAGGAAGCCACAGCTGTTTTTATGAAATCCACTACTAAATTATGTTTTCTAATCTCAACCAGGCTTTTAATCCTTTTAATCTTCCCTCATTAGCTCTTCTTCTCCACAATGGTTATCTAAACCTTCTCCTCTTTTCCCAAACTCCCTACATCTTTTTCCCTCATGCTCTTAGCTGAGGAACTTTCCTGTTTATTGATAAAATTGAGGCTGTTTCATACTCTTTGCTGAATATCCTTTCCTTACTATTGTTAAGTAAACTCCTTTTGTTAAATGTTATATGGTCTGTGAATAACTCATTTCATTCTGATCCTGTACCTTAGCCTCTGAACTCGCCTGAATCTTTCCTGACTCAGAACAACTCCTGAGGCTAGACAACCCATCTACCTTAACCTTCTTACATCCCTGGGAAGGGGGGGGAGGATGGGACTGCCCCCCGCACAGCTAGATACACTGGTGCTCTGTGCTGATTCATCCTTTGGGTCTCCCTTTATTTTCAGGTCTGGGCTGAATTGGAGTCTGCTGTTTTTTTGAGGGGAGGATGAAGAGAGAGTTCTCAATAGCATCTCTGCAGCTTTGATATTCAATGACCTAGGGCTGGGCCCCAGTCAAAAAGCATCATGTTTTAAGTCCCCAAACCCTGCCCCTTTCCATTTCAGCCACTCCTGATTGTGCATAATTAATGTCTGTCACTCCTTGAGGGGTGGGAAGGGGTGTGGGGGAGGAAGAGTGTTCCAGCAGTCTCTGCAGAAATACGGTATCCCCTGAGGGACCCTTGCAGGAACCTGCAA